TACTTCTATTTTATTAAAAAAAAAAAAAAAAAAAACAAGAACGGAAGTCTCGTGAAGTGGGAATAATTACATTCTCACATCTTTACGACTGTTGCGATTTCTACAAATTTTACCCGAGTTTAATAAAAAAAATATATATATATATATTAGAACCATTTCAAGTACATTTACGGTGAAGGTGCAATATTGGATACATCTCATTGTATCTCATCGGAGTTTCCCCTGTAAGATCTATCCGCCATTCTTCCTCCGTCCGAGATACATCGGGGACCATGCGATTTACCCCCGGACACTATTGGTTGCTACTAGTCGCGGGTACGTTCTTCGTCTGCTGCTTATGGAAGACCGGATCGATCAGTCGTTGGAGTATGCGCGCAAAAGCTTTGATCCACTTCGACCTATCGATCCCGTCATCATCATCTTCGTCGTCGTCGTCATGGACCACTCCGCGTCGTCCCCCCTTCGATAGAATCGACGCAAGACTGTCCGCTCGTCGGAAACATCGGGGCACTCTTTCTAGATACATGCTACAGCTGTATCATCGGCGTCCGGATGCCGATATAGTCCGTGCAATTCAGCCGGTGCATACTTCCGGGCCGCTCCGCGACGGCGGCAGGATCCTGGAGTTCGCGATTCCATCGGTCGACATCGACGAGACGCTGGAGGCCGCGGAGTTGCTTGGAATAGCCGGTGCGATAATTCGGGTGCGATCATTGAATGATCTGCCGGCGAGGAATGGAAGCGAGGAGATCTTAAGATCGAGAAAGGACGACACCTGGCGCGCCTTTGACGTCACGTCCGCCGTCGCCGGCAGAAATAGCGATGACATTGTCCGTCTCCACGTTCATGGCAGACTGACCTATTGTCCTTACGGCGACAGTCCAATTCTCCTTTTGAATTACAGCAAGACGGGTGGAATCCAGCGCCGTCGTCGATCCGCGGAGGATCAACAGGAGGAGCAGGATCATTGGGATGAGGAGACGCCGCGTAGACGACGTCGGAATGGCTGCCGTCGACGTCCGATGTACGTGGATTTCGCCCTCATCGCTTACGATGACTGGGTGGTCGCGCCACCCGGATACGAGGCTTATCAGTGCTCCGGCAAGTGTTACTTTCCGTTCGGCGATCATCTTAGTCCGACCAAGCACGCGATAGTGCAGACGTTGATACATGGGGCTCTTCAAGCTAGCGAGGATCTCGGCGGCAACAAATTCGTTGGCAGAGCTTGCTGCGTACCCACCAGATTGGCACCTACTAGTCTGCTTTATATGGACGCCAGCGGCACTTTAACCTACGAATACGGCTACGAAGACATGGTCGTCTCTGAATGTGGTTGTCGCTAATAAATAGGATGGTGGAGTTGTATGCCGTGCGAAAAGAGTGCGCATTTTTTTCCTTTTTTATTAACAGCGAAACGCTTACGTCGTAGAAATGAGTGTACAAAATATAAAATATAAATACAGTTGAGCCTCGATATAATAGATCTTGAAGAGAATAAATGCGCTATGTCTTCATTGTACGTAATGTTAACAAAAATAAGAGAATGTGAAGTAATAGGGATAATGAATGAAAGAGATAAGTTATATTTTAAAGTAATCACACACATAGAACGAGATCTTGATGAAATTATCATTATTTCTTCATGATAATCATATCAAGTAGAAAATAAATATTGCAAAAATTTGCAGAGATTCCAATTCCTTGTTCTAAAATTATTATGGCAATATTAATTTCTTCCCTCTATCGATGAATGCATTTTCGAGTAACTTCAATTAACTTAGAGTATTATATTGAGGCCCAAGTGTAACGTTATCTATTGATCCATAATCCAACTGTCCATCGATTTCATATATATAAACGCTGCCATATTATCGTACTCAAATATTTGCACTATCCTTACACTATAGAGATTCACAATGGTAAAAAAAGTTTTATATCGCACCTAATATCTAAAAAAGTTACTGAGCAATCTTTAAGGTGCCGTTAACTGAACGCGAATTTCGCACACATTTCATCGTTCTTTTGGTTGAGCTTGTAAGACCTGCCGGGCGAATGAATCTTTGTCCGGCGTGTTTTCCTCAATCTGTGCCGGCTGCCAGGTATTCTCTCGATCTTGTAAACCTGCTGCTTCACCGTGGTGACCGGCTGGCTGAGCCTCATACACAATGACACCGGCCCAGAAAAGTCTACGTCGGTGGACAGTTCGAGCTTGGGTTCCATCGCCATCGAGAACTCCGCTTTACTCTGCACGAAACTCGAGTGCACCTTGGTGCCACCGTGGATCATCACACCAGCATTCATTTCTACCAAGGACCGTGCATTTCTCGACCAGAGACTTAGCTGGATCTGGCCAGCCAGGTCAAAGCTCACGGCGCCCTGAACGTCGATCTCGACGACAAAACCGGATCCCAATGGCACGTACTGGTTGTGATTATAAAGGGAAGCAAGAGCCTGGAAAGCAGGGGTCCTCTCGGACGCCGTGCCGGACCAGACGTGGCCCATCAGCTCGCCCTGGCCAGAAAAGAAGACGAACGGCCGCACGCCGACACCGAGAAAATCTATTTCCATACCGGCAGTAGCCACTTCATCGTCGGCTTCCGCTCCATCGTCCTGGCTCGAGACGAAGCTGCCGAGACCACCCGCGAATAATCCCAGCGAGAACATCGTTTGCCGTTCTTTGTTAGTCTCCAGCACGACGTCTACAATGCCGCGCTTCAGCAGACCGGAATTTACCTCTTGAATAGTCACCAAGGAGCCGTTGCTCTCGGGCGAACGCAAAAAGTTCCTCGTAAAGGCGGTACTGAGGCCCCTCTGTGCTCGTACGTGATAATTGTTAACCGTCGTACCACCGGTCGCATATATATTCCTTAGGTATCTGGCGAATTGTTCGTTCTTCTCGGCGATTTGCTCCAATCGTTGACTCAGGTACTTACGGACTTCATAGGCCGGATCGTTGCTGCTTAAATATTTAACGAGATCACGCAGGATTTCTGCGGAAGGCTCGCTCTCAAGGATGATATCTAACGCGAGCGTTCGCGCACTGCTATCCCTTCGCGGTCCTCCGGTCTGATAGAAAATCTTATAAGCCGCGGCCTTCAACTCATCGGTCACAGCTTCGCGAGGAAGAG